TTCTTTACTGTGAGAGTGGTGAGACACTGGTACAGGTTGCCCCGGAAAGTTGTGGATGCCCCCTCCCTGAAAGTGTTCAAGGCCAGACTGGACAGGGCTTTGGGCAACCTGGTCTGGTGGGAGGTGTCCCTGCCCCTGGCAGGGGGGTTGGACTGGATGATCTTTAAGGCCCCTTCCAACCTAAACCATTCTATGGTTCTATGATTCACTTCCCATTTATTCATCTCATTAGACGAACCTGATCAACACAGACCACCAGGCACTGTCTCATTTTGAAAAAGTACATCTTTCTTCTTGAACTGGATAGAAAATGGTTTCACTAAACCAACTAAATCGACCCCTTAGGTCCAATGACCAAATTTAATAACTGTTCATCTTTGCTAATGTACAGTGTTTAATGATCTCATTCATTAATACATCAATGGTTGCTTTGGCTGATTAGATTTATTCCATCATTTTGACAGTATGATCTAAATGTAAAGTACAAATATTCCATGTAAAAATGAAACATTGTATTCTGAGCCAATGTCATAGATTAATTCTTAACTCACTCCAGTAGCCCACCAGAGAAGCTCATGTTAGGAGCCCTCAGAATTGCTCTCCAGTGTGATGCACTAATTGCTGTACTTGGGACTCAGAAGCACTTGCATAGATTTGAAGTCCAGGAAAGACTGTTCAAGTTTGTCACCTGGTCCCTGGCATAAAACACAGTCAGAAAGGTTCCTTGGATTTACATAATGCAAAATAAGATCAGAATGATTACACATTCATAAATAGATTTTAGTTAACAGCTTGTTAAATTCATCATTGCAAGCAGCGATGACACTGCTAAGTAGAATCTTCTTAGGGTACCAACTCATGTTTTATCATCTTACCAGGATTGTTTCACACAAGGAGATAATAAGAGCATTTTCCTTCCCTTAAAATGCACTATGGCATTCATGTTATCTCAACATCCTATGCTGATTGGTCACATCTTTTGTTTTCCCTTTGTGAGGGCCTGAGACTGCTAATCACAATATTGACTGAATACACCTTTTTTAGGTCCTTTGAGTTCAGCCATTAAATAGTTTGCATCTGTCAACTTCTTGCTCTTACACTAAACAATTCAACAGCTCATTTCTCATCATAGATCCGTGGGCTGCATTAAATGAGAGAGCCTAACAGAACCTCATAGTTAAAGCAATTTTAAATGCTCTCCTTTACAGACTCAAGGGACTGCACTACTGAAACAAGGGTGATAATAAAAGTAGAAATGTTCAGTCATATTTGTGAGCTGTTTCAGAGTGTTTCACTTCTAAAGGATCAGAGGAGGTCCACACCTTTACAACTAGATAGGAAAACTAATGCTTCTTTTTTTTCCCATTAACTCTACTTAAGCATATTAGACAAATTATCTGAAAGATAATGAAAAAGAGGATATAGCTTTATAATCTAAAACTAAGTTTCAAAGTCTATATTAAATTGTTAACTGCATTGTCTTCCAAAATATGGTAGCATATAGCACTGAACAAGTTACTAATTTGAAATAAAACTGAGACACAAACTATCAATGAAGAAGAAAAAGGTAAAGGTTTCCCCTGTTTACTTTTTAATCATTTCTATAAGAAGAAAAAGCCTGTGGTTTTACCTAGAAGACAGTACAGAAACAATTGAAAGGTCATCTAATAATAATTATGTTTTGCTGTAGCAACTTTTCTGATTTTTATTGGCATCTTTAAGACTGTCAAGGACTCATGTCTTCAAAGTCAGAGAAGAAGTTGGCATTTTTATAAGTAGTTCTAAAGGAAGGCCAAAGCTTTACTGAATACAGAAATGGTTCCTTTTGCTGTGTGTGGGCAATTTTTGCCAAGTAAGGTTGAAATATGCTTGTTTATGGAACAGCACAAGGAAACCGTATGATTGCTAAACATACACCTGGTTCTGGAGCTTATATGAAAAAAATCTAATTTCCATAGTTACTGTTCTGGTATCATTCTGCATTGAAAGTAATGATTAAAAATGAGAATACCAAGAATATCTGAGCAAAAACCTATGTTTTATAAGTATACCCAAAATACAGTGAAATCAATATGATTAAAAGCCCTATTCAGAGCTTGCCAGCATTAAAGGCACAACATATCAAGAATATCTACATGAGTTCATTAAAGATGTGAAAGGATGTATTTCCAAAGAAATGCTCAAATATCTTTTACACTTGGCATCCATTCATTCTTCTCTATATATGCCCAAAGGGATTAGGCAAAAATTTTATTTTAACAGGTAACATTAATACAAATAGTATTTTAAAGGCTGATTGCCTTTATACCACACTAGGCAATCTTGCTTACCTTTTCCAGAATTTCTGCATATGCCTACTCATTTAATATAGTAAATTATTTCCTGAAAGATTAGCACTTCTTGCCACTGTTACCCATACCAAATGAAGAATATAAAGAAAATGTTTTTCAAAGAGAGGGAAATAAAAAAGTTACAAATGTTTTGTACTGTGAGATTTTAAAAGACATTATACTCTTCACGCTTTTCAGTGGTAGAGAAGGCCAGTAATTATCAGTCATTCCATTGCATCATTTGCAAACATTCACTTGTAAGACTGATACAACTGAAGTGTTTTTGTGTTTTAGGTTGTTTTGGAGTTTTTTTGTTTATGTTCTTTATGGATAAGCAGCTTGTAATTGATTTTTCAGAGTTGTGAATACAAATTTACTTAACGTTAACGAGGTGAAATAAGCTGATGCCACCGTGCTGAGTCATATAAAATCAAACCTATTTGTGCAACTAATTGTACATTTGGAAAATAAGTACTTCCGAATCTTTTTGTGTTTCATGATAAAATTAACACAGAACGGTGAGAAAAGAGCTACTGAAGCAACTGTCTTCTCTGAGTTGATAATTAGAACAGGGTGGGTGATTGCCCAGAGCTGCTGTTGCTGGGATTTAATGTTTGATGCTTACCCGTCACAAATTAACATAACATATGATTTATGTTTGTCAGTGTGGCAGCCATTTGGAAAACTGAAACGTTTGACAGCAGTAAATGTCTCCTAGTACAAAGGTTTCTCTTGCCTCTATTGCTGTCATGCTCCAAACTGCAGTGGAGCTTCTTTGTACATAGCTAGGCAATAAACAGCTTTGCATTATAGCTATAGGATTAAATGAGCAAAAGGTTCAGTTGAAGGGATTGTTTGCTCTCCAGAAAATTGTTCTCTGCTTTTAAAAACTAGTTGTATCTATGAAAGTAGAAAGAGGAAGCTGGAAGGGAATTTGGATTATGGAGACACACAGAAGAAGGCTTAAGCCACTGTGAGGAGGGTTCTCTGCACCTGGAGAGAATATCTGTAGATACCTCCAACTTTTAGCAGTCCTGTCCATACCAACACTGGCAGCTCAAGTTTCTCCTTAAGGAAAACTTGGAACTCTCTAGTATAATGGAAGGTGCTATTTGCTTAAACTATGGAAGTGTTGATGCTGAAAAAAATTTAAAGTCCTTTATTACAGCATGGGTGCTTCTGCCATACTTTAAGTATAAGTAGTACTGTGTTCATGGCCATTAAGAGCTGTTTCAGGTCCTAGGGCAAATAGTCACTGTACCAATGATCCTCTTCTATGCTGCCTTACATTTCCTCATGCCACAGGTCTCTCTTACTTTTCTGACACTTTTGGAGAGGCAGAGGGTGGGGTCTGGTAGGGGTTTGGGTCAGAGCAAATAAGGAGGGTTGGGCTCTTGGTTCTGTTTCCTCCAGCTTTCAGACAGTCAGCACTGGCTGGACCTGTGGAGCTGTGAACCCATAAGGTTGTGTGTGATCCCACATGCATACCGCATTAGATCTGAGTGTGTTGCTGTGCTCGATTTGAGAGGAAAAAAAATCTGTTGCAGACTCTGTCATCTTACTACACTTTCTCTGCAGCACTGTAAGAAATGTCATAAAGAATAACATTTGAATTAAGGACACAAATAATTTACTTTTCTTGGGTATTTACTTTTCATGTTCCGAGCCAAAGAACAGGAGGGCAATGAAAATCTGAGACCTTAACTGACTTTAATACAACCATTAGGCACCTTTAATACTCAATAACCTTTGTGGGTTTTTCAGCATTCTTCACAGCTTTCAGCTTTTTGTTCAAACTTCTGTCAAATCTGCAGGTTTTATTGAGATTTTGACATGTAGTATCAGATCTTCATGGTAAACTATAGGTCTAGCATTGTCACAAGTCATTTTCTTCGCTGTGTATGTGTATTTGGAACATGTAGAGCTTTTCCTTGAGATAAGCAGCTCATTTTATTTGTGTATAAATATGTACATATTTGCTTATGTCTGGAAGACTCATTGCAGTGGTTTTATGCTGCTTTAGAATAAGTCTAATAATACCTATACACTGATGCACATACATCTATTTAACATAAGACTTATTGTCTTCCACTTAATGCAAGCAAATTGTGTTGAGCCTTTCTATGGATGTTTGGAAAAAAAGGTCCTGTCAGAATTTATGGTTCAAACATTGTCATTTTAATATGAAGCGATTTGATTGCTATTAAAAGCTGTTACTTTTTAAGGTTATTTTCACTACATAATTTAAAACTTCTTTTTCTAGAGCCTGCTAGTTTCACTGTTTTAAAAAACAAACAGAAAACTTCAGTTGTTCTTAGATACCTGTTCAACCTCTCCCTTTGTTAGAAAGCATTTGTTTTCTGACCATGGCAGTTTGATTTATCTGTTACTCCATTTTATAACCTCTCCTATGGAGAGTTTTTTATTAGCTTGTTACCTATCAAGACTATTGTTTATGTTGTGCCTGTCAAGAAATAGATTGAGACTGGGTATAGAAAGCAAATAATCATGTAAAACTGACTTTACTATGTCACTGAATCATCAAAAAGCTGGATTTAATTTTTGCTTTCTGCTATGAAATGCTATACCTACTTACTTCACTGGTCTGACATTTTGAGCTACTTGGTAAACTGTACAAATTCTAATGGCTCCTTTTGCCTCCCCCTACAGTGCCCCCTAGGTTTGTGGTTCAGCCCAGCGACCAGGATGGGATCTATGGAAAAGCCGTAATTCTCAACTGCTCTGCAGAGGGTTATCCTGTTCCTACTATTGTCTGGAAGTACTCAAAAGGTAGGATTCCTCCTGTGATCACTGGGGACAGATTAATTCTGATTTAGTAACAGTCAACAGAAAGTTACTAGTTTATTCTTCATATTGTCAGAGCCTGGCAGGGTGCAATAAAAGAAGTATCAGTCAATAAAAGAAGTATGTTTATACTATTCTTCTCTAATCTCCCTAAGCACTGTAGTAGTGCTGGCCATTGTCATAGACACAAGGCTGAGCTAGAATGACTTCTGGTCTGCCTTAGCGATGTCCTGGAGCTGTGAATATGTGTCTGTGTTAGCTATGGACTCACCAGGCGAGTGATGAAATGGACAGCTGAGAGAAAAGAGATACTGCTTTAATTGAAACAACCTCAGAACAAGGTTCAGTGGCAGCATTTGGCCGATTTTTTCCCCCCATCAAAATCCATGATAACATGGCCAGTCATATCTTTTCAGCAAAGAAGAAAGGTCAGGTAACATTAGCATAAGCAGTAATTCAGTACGTGCTTTACATAATGCTTTAACATTTTCTTCTCATGTAACAGAGCATTAAAATTGGCCCCACTTGACCCTCAGTAACCATAAGAAATTGACTGTTTTTTAATTAAAATGTGCTGCCTGCTGGATTGTGTCTTCTGGCCAGTTGTCTTCTGGTTGGTTTTAGCAAGAAAACAAACTCTCCAAACTCTGTATTCAATCTACTTGAGTTAACTCTTTAGAAAGCAAAACTTGATGCTATTGAGAAGAAATCTTTATGCAACAATTCATGTCAATTTTCAGTTTCCTTAGGGTCTAAATCCAAATTATATTCCAAGAAAAAGGGTGAGGGAAGATAAATGTTCATATTAAAGACCATTTTTGCTTTTATTGTTAAATTCTGGTTTGCGGTAAGGAGGGTACAGAGCACCACATGCCATTAATCTGAATGATATATGGGTGTTTAGTTATGAATATGGGTCACAAAGAAGTAATTCTGTTTTGATATGTTTGCATGCTGAAGGAAGCCAACCCAAGCTAGCTAAGTTGTAATTAATGCAAAGAGATAAACAGTTCATCTTAATAAAGGAGAAAGAGATAGTGATTTGATTTTAATAACACTCTACCATCAAGTGACTGTTTTTAAAGTTTTCCATTAATAGCCCTGAAGTTTTTAAGTCAAGGAAAGTTTTAGTAGATATGTGATGTAGGCAAAGCCATCAACCTGCAATTTCATTTTTTGGCCAAAATAATTCTAGTTGAAAAGGTCAGTATTTCTACAGAAGCCTGTATTTTGCTAATGGATGACTGCCATTTCCATACCTAGCCTAACTAAGGTGCTGTACAGATCTGTAGGATATATGCTACATCTTCCTTTAAAGAGATACATTATACGACTGGTTTGTGAACAAGGTTTGTGCCAAATTCTGAAATAATTACTGTGGTAAAGCCAGTAGGTGTCAAGTAATCACATCAGAACTCATCTCTAGGTACCACAACAGAGTAGAAAGGGCATCTGTACACCTGCAGGTAAGCTAGTGTCATTGGCTTTTCATGTCAGTGAAAAATTGAAAAAGAGCATTCATTTTTATGTACATTGGGATAGAAAGATAATGGAAATGGACTTGCTGTCTCTAAAGAATAATGACAGTGATCAATATAGACCCTATAATCAGCAAGAATCTGCTGTTTTAAGTCCTTCAGACTTAAGGAGGCAATGGGCACACAATGAAACACAAGAAATTATTTCTGAGTATAAAGAAACACTTTTTTACTGTGAGGGTGACTAAGCACTGGCACAGGTTGCGCAGAGAGGCTGTGGAGTCTCACCCTTGGAGATACTCAAAAGCCATCTGGACGTGGTCCTGGGCAGCTAGCTTTAGGTGGCCCTGCTTGAGCAAAAGTGATCCACAAAGACCACATGATCTCCAAAGGTCCTTCCCAACCTCAATCAATTGTGTGATTCATGAGCATGCAGTGCTCTTGCAGATGCATCCTTGCAGTTGTTTGTGATAAGCTGCTCTCACTGCTCAGGAAGAACTTTGGCTGTAGTAGCAGTAACAGTGCATGTGAAGAGTAAGAAGCCTTTGCAAACTGTTAGGCAAAATTTTGCCCATTTCTCACTATCCTCAGAAGTATCAGCCCTTTTACTTATGTGAACACCAAATTGTCCCCAGAATTTTTCAAGTGAAGAAATACAAGAAGTGAGTGCTTGCATCTATCTACTAGGGCAATCAATTGCAGACAGGTGGATTTAGTGAAGCATAAATGTGCCTTCCAAATAAATGACAGGAAAAAATGGCTTATTAAAGAAAAATAAATAGACAAAGGAGTAAGTGGGTTATATATGAACTAAAATAGTTGAAAAATCAACAATGGCAAGTGATTTTTTTAAAAACATCACTTGAACATTTCTAAGTTCATAGTATTGCCCACCAGACCTTGAGTGTAGCTGTAAGTCCCCAAAGCAAACTCTTCCAGGACTAGAAGGATTTTTAGTATGCATGTCTTGTCTTTTTTAATAATCTAGATGTTGTATTCATAGGTTGTTATAGCAAGCTATTTTACACTAAATCATTCCCCATAGTATTTATTCATCGTATTTCCTCTTGGGCTGACTCAGCCAACTGCGTATCGTAATTAATGCTGACAGATATTAACTTCGTGTACAGAAAGTGGTATAAGAGAATTCCATTGAAGAAGACTACCTTATGATTTTCCTGAAAAATCCCATCTCCTTCTGTCAAAGTATGTTATAAAACCCTTTGTTAAAAGAACAGTATCTTAATATACATTTGGAGTCCCTAATGCTGGAGGAACCTGAACTTGCGGTGAGCCTCTGGACAGTATGGCATGCAGACAGTATGTCAGTATCCTGTTCTCTATTTCTTAAATCCCCCAGTATCTTATTTCAAATAAAAAGTAGGTTCTTTCTTAAAACCAAAGTTGATACAGAAATCTTTTATTTCCTACCTTTTCATGGACTTTCTGTTGTTACATTACTGCCAAACATGGCACTTCATGCCTGATTAGTGCTCTGAGCTTTTTGTGTTTTTTATATTTTTATCAACAGTCCAGTTAAATACTGGCTACAAACATGGCAGAGCAGAGATATTTTGTGTCATCAGTCAGTCAGCTGTAGGAGGAGGAAGCAAGCAACACAGTCACTGATGTGATTTTCCATGTTACCCAGCGTTTCATAAACAAGGTCCTAGAGATCCCTTGAGTATGCCATGTTTACTACAACGGACATCCCTCTTAGTCATAAGAAATTCATTTGGCGTATGCATTAGGGATGCATACTTGTATGACTATTCAGCTGTAGCTGTCAATAATTTATCAGCCTCTAAATGTACAACAAATGTGCCTTTTTACCCATGAGCAGTCTGAAAACCTTCATTTTCTCTCTCCCCCTTTCTGGTTCTTCCACTCCTGCTTCATGCTTCTTTTGCCCCTTTACCTTTAACTGTTTATACTATTATACTATTATATTCCATAAGTCTCACCTCTTTCCATTTTGTGAATTCAGTTCTGACAAAGAACCATTCCATTTGTTCTGATGATGTCAGAAGCCATTCATATTTTAATTGAATTGAGCCTCTAAGAACAGGTAGCTATAATTTCTGCTTTGTTTTTTTAAAAAAATTAGATGTTTTCCTTCCTAACTAACCTGTTTCCATGGGGGTCCTGCTTTAGGTGCTGGGGTTCCTCAGTTCCAGCCGATTGCATTGAACGGTCGTATCCAGCTTCTCACAAATGGCTCCTTGCTGATTAAACATGTGCTGGAAGAAGACAGTGGATACTACCTCTGCAAGGTCAGCAATGATGTGGGAGCAGACGTCAGCAAGTCCATGTACCTCACTGTTAAAAGTAAGAACTAAAACACTTCTCTGTGATCCAGATATTACCACTGAGTGAAAAAGGCTTGTCTTAGTTTGGAGGGAGGCGAGGTGAAGTGAGGAGGGAGGGGAAAGGTTGGTTTTGTTGATTTTAAATTCATGCTGGCATTCAGTTGCATGTGATAGCACCTGGAAATCAGCATGGTTAAAAAAAAAGATGTTTAGTAGAGGGAGAAAAGAGACTTAAAGATTTCATTTCAAAAATCTGTATGATGTCTATGAGCTACAGCTGAGTAATGAAGGGGAAGTAAGAAAATTATTTGGTCAAGGGTAAAAAAAAAATCAAACAGAGAAGTAATACAGCAACTGTTACAAATCTCAGAAGCTGAAGAAAAATATGGATTAAAAAGTCTCTTAATCAGTTCTAAAGATTCTCAAGATATAGGAACAATTACAGTAGATATCACAAGAAGCCATAACATACTATAAGAGATTGTAGATATAGCCACAGTATTAATTCTGACTTAGCTACTGGCAGATAACTTTCAGAAAATGCATCTAATTCTGATGAATCTGGAGTGCATACACAATCTCAACCTATCTGTACTTTCTAGGCACAAGAGGCAAAAGCAACCAAGATTTTAGGTGCATGTTAGTTTAACTCCTTCAAACATGAACATAGATAAGAATACAAAGGAATTTTTATTTTTTTTTTAAGCTGTCGAAAGAATATAATTTCTCACTAGAGAAAAAAGAGACTACTGACACTTCAGCATGCCAAATGTTCCTGGATGACCTATTAGACCAGTATTGAAGAAGGTCACCTAGCCATGCACTTTCATGTTTGCAGGATTTTTGAAGATTAACTGAGCTCTTTGAAGTTCTAAGATGTCAATTAGCTTGAAAAAAGTTTGCCCTTGAAAGTAAAAATATTTTTTTTTCTGAAAAGAAGAAAAATTCGACTTACTCTCCATTGGAGAACTATACTTTAGATCACTAATCTTTAGGTTTAGGGTTGCTGATAGCTTGTTGTAATGTCAGAGAACAAATAGCTAAGTTATTTGAAAGAAATAGTGTCAAATTTGTTAGATTTGCAAGCCCCAGTATCTCAGATGTCCTCTCCACTTTGATTTGCCGTAGTCACTTCGTCTTCTGAAAAATGACATGATATCGCAACCTCTCAAGCAAGTATATTAATTGCATACTTTTTCTGTGGATTACTAGAAGTTCCAGCTTCTATGATTTCCATAGCTGGCCATTTTTGGGCCAAGCTTCCACTGTAGTAGCAATGCACTGCTCTAATATGCTACAGAAAACCAGCTTTCCTCTGGTTGGCAGCTATGCACACTGCCTGTCTGATCACTGCATGCAGTTTCATGTGTGATAAAAGAGCATCCCTTATCAAATAAAAGCAGGAGCTTCCCTGGAGAGTCAGATGCTGTTTGAATCTAATGAAAACCCCTCCAGCTCTGAGATAGGCAAGCACATCTATACACCCTCACACATCCGCACTAACACACGTATTGCTCCCAGCATGGCTGTCAGAGCAAACGCCATTAGCGTGTTGGTGTGTGAGTAGAAGAGGCACTGCTTTAGCTTTAATCAAGTACACATTAATGACAAACTGCTTTGAGGAAGTGTGCCATGGTGAGCTTCAGGTATAGCTGTTCTGGTGGCATGGTTATGGCACTTAATACTTGCACCTGGTTAAGTGGAATGACTCCAGAGCATGGGACTAGACCTGCCTTTATTCTCTCTGGTACTGTATCTTGTCATTCATTGTTTTCTTTTTCTCTGTGGTTATTCTGGTTCCTTTTCCCTCTCCCCAAAAACCTTATTTCTGGACCCTAGTTTTCAGGTATAGACCTACTATTAGATAAAAATCTTGGACTTCCTTCATAAACTTCAGTGTTCTTAATTAGCTAATCCTGCTCCACAAGGTCACCCTAAATACCTTCTTTACTCAGAGTCATAAGGTGAGACCTGGCCCAGGCAGTTGATTCTGGGTAATAAAGTAACATCAATACATCCTTTTACGGCTTCCTTCAGTCTGTATGTGGGTTGTCTATGAAGAGTAGTTCAAATCACCTGATAAAAAAAGTAGAGTGGCTTAGGTTGATGTAGTTACTGACTGTGAAACTAGACTGTGTCTCAGAAAGACAGACATGGCAGCAGTGCCTTTACAACCACTTCATTTAACTGATACAGTTAAGATACTTCACATGGGCAGTTGCTAACCATTTGTCGCATCACTGCGAACTTAAAAAAGCTCCTCTTATGCACAGGTGATTCTTCTCCTCCATGTCTGATAAAAGTTTCCACCTACTTTGTTAGTAACATTGCTGGATAAATTTTTGACTTCCATAGTTCCCATAATAAATCTCTTAATTGAGACTGGATGATTTCCAGAATTTTCAGTGTTACTTGTATGTAAACAGAAAAGCTATTGACCTTTGATGTCAGAAGATGATAGACAAATTTTTGTTTTGGTAGTTCAGGAGTGGACAGAATAAACATCTACTTGATGTCCTTCCATTAATTGCTACCTCTAAAATGGACAGACTTTTTTTAAACACCAGCTCAAGCTATAAACCAACTTGGCTTGCTTAACAAGGCTCTTAATAAGGGAAATAGTAGTAATTCCAGATACGCATTTATTTATTGCTTCAGTGTTTGCTACATGACACCTTCATGTCAGAGAAGCTGGTCCAGTTTCTTGGTTGAAGAGAGATTGTATGAGGAGGGAGTGCAAAATAAAATGATAAGAGGTAAAGAAAGAGGCTTCAGGAGTACAAACAGGAACGTGAAAAGAAAGAGCTACCAGAGTTGATGCTGAATCAGGAACCACAAGGCTAGAATGGCAGCCTTGAAAGGAGAGCATCTCCACTTAGCAACTATTATCCTCCTCCCTTTCTTTTCAAGAAATAGACATAAAAATCACGATCAGTGTGGTTTTTTCGCTTCTTCTGAACCAAGGATAAGTAGTTCTCAAATTCTCTATTCACCAAGAAATACAATATTAGAAAATTATGAGAGAGATCTGGAATAAGGAGTCTGGTGCTATCTTGAGAAATGACTCCTGGTGCTTGGGATGAGAAGACTTCTAAAGAATTTCAATAAAAGATAATAAGCCTTTAACATGAAGGGAGAAACTGAAATTATTTAGAGGTTGCCTGGGAGTCACAAGGGAAGAGATGTCTGCTTAAAATGGACTGCCTGCCTGCCTTCATCTGAATAAACGTCACACTTCCTAATTCCACTTTAGGGGCTATATATAACATGATAGAATGATATTGTGAAAAATTTCCCTCTTGAAAAGCAAGCTTTCATTATATGTTCCTATGTAAATAATCTGTTAGAGGCAGTTATGTTAACTCTGTCCTTTCCTAAATCAGTTATTTTCATGTCAGTGTGGAGACTGAGAAGTTTTAATCTGATTACCAAAACATGTCCAACAAATCCTGTCTGCCAAAAAAACAGAATTGCTTCACTCACTTTCCTCTCATATATGCTTCTTAACTATTTGCATTATATGTGTTTAATACATAAACCTAAAACTGTCAGTCAGTCCCACACCTCCTTCCAGCAGAAACATACTAATCCTAGCAAGTACTTTTAAGTTTCACCACACAAAAATTTTTTTAAAAACTTCCAAAATTGTCATCTATGACAAGAGCCAGTGGAATAACAGAAAAAAGATACTTTTTTGGAAAGGGAGCCTGGTCACAGTGTAAAAGTGAGTGTAGCGTCGTATTCCTGCAGCTACACTGGGTCTTTGCTGTGGTGATTCCCCACGCTGTGCCTCTGCTGCTGTGTCTCATCCATGCTGACCATGATCTCTTCCAGGCAAGATTTGTTTCTCCTCATCATCAGACAACTTATGGAAAAAAGAGGCCTTGATCACATACCTACCTACTACTGCAAAAGAAATAAAATAGTATAAACACAAGCAAGCTCAAAAGATGCTTATGAAAAAGGATTCTAATCTAGTGAAGCTGTTTTCTCCAATGTTAGCTGAAAGTTGTTCCACCATATGGCTGAAGCACTGCAGTGTTTGTTTATTAAAATGGACAGAAGTCTGTGCCTGGCTTCCTCCATGAACCTATCTGGACGACAAAGGCACACCTCCCACGTGGTCAGTCAAATGAGTTCACTCTGCTGCAGCACCTGCAGTAAGCCAGCAAGCTGTGATGGAGAACTCACTGTGCTCTGCTCACCAGGGTGCCTTGAAATGCTCATTTTAGTCATTAGGGAAATAATTCCTTGTTGAGGATATAGGAATTTTGAGATCTGTCCAATTGCTACTTTTCCTTGTGTATGAAAAGAGTACTATTTACACATAGATGCTATCTTTTTTTTATGTCATATTTCTCACTAAAAATGCATCTATCCCAGATGTCAGTAAGGGTGGCATTGCCTGTTTGCAAAGATAGATTGTTGATGTTATGCTGTAGAAAAAGATAAAAATCACCATCTCTCACACCTTCAAAAATGTTTCTAGGAAGAACAACATTCATACTATGGCAAATTCACCTGAGCTCATTTATTTTGACACTTCTTAATCTGTCCTTGTTTCATTGTCCTGTGATCTGTAAATAGTGTTTTCTGTGGTAAAACCAAATAAAGTCCCCTTGTCTGATTGTGTTCTCTGTTTTACTGTTTTCTTCTCCTGACATTCTGCCATCTTTATCAAAGTGCTTTTAAATTTATTTGCTTCTTCATACTTATTTTGCAATTATCTCAGGTAGAGTGCATTTTTGTCCAATGGAAAAATTTGGCCAAAACTGGTAAAAATCACCAGCTGGATTACTAGCATATACTCTCAGAATGAAATATTAAGGTAAAGGGAAAGAAAACAAAAATAGTTTCAGTGAACTGAAACTACTTTTATATCCCAAAGTGTCCTTTCTCCTGAGCTAGTGAGTTGCACTTGCCTACCTTTCCCTTTACCCTCATGACAGGCAACTCTCTCTTTCACCACATATTTCTTGGCAAACAAAGGCAAAAACTCTGTTAAATATAAGGATGTGA